CCGCCTCCGGCTCAGCTCCCTGTCCTCCCCCCGGCCCCACGGCAGCCCCTTGTCCCCGCGGCTCCCATCGCCCCCAGCCACGGCGACGGCACCGCTCCTTGCGGGATGCTCCCATTTATAGGGAGCAGCGCCCCGGCCGTGCGGAGCGGGGATGTTTTGCTCCCCATGGCCGCTGCCAGGCCCTTGCCCACGGAGCGCGTGGTTGGCATTTCTACAGCCATGAATAGGAGGATTGTGGCAGCGCCCAGAGCCCCATCTCCCGTCCTGTCCTCCTGCCCGGGGGGCCACGGAGCAGCAGAGGATGCTCCCCCCGCGCTCGTCACGGGCTCCCCACTCCTGCCCGCAATGAATTCAAATGAATTCTTCCCTCCCACACAGGGAGAGGACGTTTTATTCTCCACCGAGGGGCTGCGAGCGGATTAACATCTCTGGAATTCAAGCGCGAAGTGAAAAGGCAAAGAAAGGAGGGAGGAATGCGGGGGGCAAGAGATGCCAGCGCGGTGCCTCGGCTTTGCCGGGCAGCCACGAGAGCCGCCGGCTTTGGCGGGTTGTTGCGGTGCTTCCTCCGGGATACGGCCCTGGAAGAGCCACCTCAGACCCACTGCTGTTCCCTGGGAGAAGGGCAAAATCCTCCTCGGCGCCCAGAACTGAGCACAGCTCCTGGCCCAGCTTTGCATCCAGCTGCTCCTCTGCCTCTGTCGCTCTTCTCCTCCTCTCCTGTCTTGCACAAAGGTCCTACACAGGAAAAGCTCCAGAATGGCTGCAGGGCCAGTAAGAGACATGGCCTTTTCTACAGGAAACAGGGGCCACCTCGTTTATTAAGCAAGTGGATAATTAAAAGGAAACCGAGTACCGGTGTGCTCATTACTGCAATTTAAAGTGTTTAGTAAACAGGCTTGTTAATGCCAAACGAGTGGCTGTTGGGGGAGATTTGGGAGCAGTCCTTGCAGCAGCAGCAGAGAGCAGGATGCGATCTCCATAACTAGCAATTCCAGGGGCTTTTTGTCCTCAAAGCACGAGGCGAGGGGGTGGCTTTGTGCCGCGTTTCAGCTTCATCCACCGCAAAGTCCCCGGGGGAACCTGCTCCCCAGTGCCTGGCGCTCAGCGCCGCTCTCGGTTGCTCTTTCCAGCCCGTTATCTCCAGCAAGCCGGAGATTTGGGTTCCCCGTCAAGGGAAAGCGGCTTCCCGCGGGCCGGCTCGCTATTGGATCGCACCAGCACCCCCGGCGCTGGAGCAGGCGACGGGAAATGGGCCGGCCCTCCCGATGCCAAGCCGGGTCCGCGGGGCTGCCGCGTAGGAAAAAATAACATCTCCCGACTAACCCAGCTGCTCGTGAGTCACGGAGAGACAATAAACACCAAACCCCACGGTGCCTGTTTTACAGAGCTGTTTTCTGAGCCAGAAGTGCACTTTGATCGCGCAGCAGAGCCGGGAAAGCTCCACTTCGGCGGGGACAGACTCATCCTGCTCCTCTCGCAGCCTTGGGACTCACCCGCCGCCAGCGGCGTTTCCAGGGACGCCACTGAGAGGAAATCGAGGATGAAATCAAGGCTTCCACTACTGCTGTTTACCAACATGGTCCTAAATGGCTCAGGCTGAATCCTAACCCAGCGGCGCTTGCTGCCACGGAAGCGCCACAAATCCGTCCTTTCCCGGCCCTCAACGCTGCCGGCTTTGGCTGTGGGCAGAGGGATGAGGCCGGGCAGGGCCCGTTCTGGATTTCACGCCGTGAAGGATGGGTTTGCAGCAGCGCGGAGAGCCCAGAGCTGCGGGGACAGTGTGAGCGGCAGCGGAGCCGGGAGCACCCGTCTTTTAATCACTTTATATGGTTTTTCTAATCATATGGATTAGGCTTCTAATATTTTTTCCTTTTTTCAAGGAGGTAGCAGGCCTTGAGCCTAGAGTGGAGAGCTCAGCTCTTGCTCGGGAAGCAGCGGGTGATGCCAGTGCTGGGAGACGAAGCCGAGGTGCGACGGGGCAACCACCAGGAAGACAAGGGAAGCTGGTGTCCGTAGAGCAGAGGAGCCTCCGGAACAGGCTCCCAGTTCCTTCATTTCAACCCCTCTCCCCGAGGAACATTCCTCCCATTAGCTCCTGGCTCCAGCGGTCCCACCCTCACGGAGAGGGTCCATGAGGGCCCCAGGTCGAGCTGCATCCGCAGCTCTGCAAACCATCGTGATTTCCAGGGAAAAACAAGGCTTCGCACATCCCGGGAGCATCTCCGCACGGAAGCTCTCTGCGCGCGGCCCCGCTCCCGCCGGCCGGGCAGGACGCAGCTGCGGATGGCGGCCGGGGTCAAGCAAGCCCGCGGGGGAGCCTCTGTGCGGAGAGCGGCTGCCACGAGGGACGCGGGCAACAACTCCCGCGCACGCCGGC